ATGAGATTAACATTGATACAATGTTTCATTTGTTCTTATTTATGTAGCCACATTCTTTTCCTGTCACGGCCAATTAACTTATCAATGGAAATGTCCATCTCCATTCCTTTCTTCTGAGTCTGTTTATTATGTCCTTTTGTTTGTCTAGGTGAGTAGGATTGAGTCTGAATTTATTTGCTTGAGGACAAGCAAATCTTCAAGTTTGGGGAATCTGATAACATGAAAATTAGACCCCTTTCAATAGGCATTTCTTATTTTTACTTATAAATTAGTATCAATTAGATAGAATTAGTTTATTTTTGAGTTTATTTTGCATTTCAGGAAAATCAGAGGGCCAATGTTGAATATTAGCATAAATTAAGGCTAACATGTGCAAAAGAGCTTAAGAAAGGACTAGAATTGGAGCTGCTAGGAATCAAGGGCTGGAAGGATCAATTGAAGCTAAACCGGAGGAGGAATCCTTACTGATGAAGTAAAGAAGGCTGCAAATTGATCACAAGTTGCTGAATTATGCAGAAGGAATCCAAGAAAGGAAGAAGGAGTTGCAGCCTCTCAGTTGCTGCCGTGATGTTCCTGCTATTGCTGCTGTCAATCAAGGAGAGCCAAGGCTGAAATCTTGCTACCAAAGGAAGGATGTGCACTGCCATCACTACAAGTTGCTGCTACTTCAAGTAGAAGAAAAGAAAGAGGGAGAATATGAAAAGGAAGGTAGCTATCATTCTGCTACTTTCCACCTAGTGCTGTTGTTGATTGAAGTGAAAGAATAGCTGTTGGAGGAGGAGAGGAATGGTGTTGCAAGTGATCTTAGGAGACAAGGAAGGAAAGAGCAGAAGATTGAAGGTTAAAATTGGAGGCTAAAACATAATGATGAAGGGAAGCATGTTGCTGATGTTGCTGCTTGACCTCTGCTATTGCTGCTGCTGAGGATTAAAGAATGAAGAAAAAGAGAATTGTGACTGAGAATTAGTGAAGAAGCACCGGAGAAGAAGACTGAGAAGAAGGGCAATGATGGAAAGAAGGTGGTTGATTACGGCTGAAGGAGGAAAAAGTCGACCAAGGAAGACATCAACTTCCAAATTGAGCAAGTTGGCTACTGCAAGTTGCCTCCTCCTCTCTGTTGCCCAGAAGCAAAACCAGAAAAACCAACGAATCCAAACTTCTCTAATTCTCTAGAAATAGGACAACAATAGCAATTTTAAAAGAACATATTGGGTAGTTAGAAGGGAATTGAATGATAGTCTAGTGGTTAGGTTGCTGTCCTCAATGGTAAAAAGACCAGGGTTCGATTCCCATCAGGGGTTGTAAGGGGGGTTTTACCCACATTTAAGTGGGGTCCACTAGGGTGGATTTTTTTTATTAAAAAAATATTGCGTAGTTAGAATCAGTTAAAAAAAAGTAGTTAGTTAGTTGGATAGAAAACAGAGTAGCAGCTGCAGTTAGAAGAGCAGACTGTCACTCGGGCAAGTGACACAGAACACTTCCCCCAGTGAAGCAGACAGAATCTGCCATACTGCTACTCTCAGGTTTCTGTCCTCTAACCTTTTGCTCTATTCATGTGTTATCTCTTGTACTCTGTTGCTATCATGTTTAACTCAATAAACATGAGTAGCTAAAATCAGTTAAGGGTTTAATCCCGACTATCTATATGTGAAGGTTTTGATTCAGTTTCTTATATGATCATATGTTCCTAGTTTAAATGCTTTAATTAACCTTTTAGTTAGACTGATCAACTAGCTATTTGTGCTTGCATAATTATGGAACCCTGAGAGGGTGAACATAGTTTTAGAACGGCTTAAACTAGTCTATGACAAAGGAGACAGTTTTGACTACAACCCTTTGGTTTCAATCATCAATGAGAGTTAGTTGATTGGCATAGGTGGTCAATGAGGCTTATGAATTTAATGGCTTGGCTTAATGAATAATTATCATTGAAAGGGGGATAATTTAGTCAAGTTGGGGCTCTTTAATGGTAACGAAAGGAAAGGTAAAAAATTAATGTGCCTGATCAAACAATGAATTATAAGTAATAAGGACTATAACGAATCAAAACTGGATCATATAAATAGGAATGTTGATGACCCTTTCGCTATCTCCCTCTGTCAAGTGACTGTTCCCACTCTCCTAAGTGATAATCTATTCAGTTTATTTTCCTATTTATATAGATTTAAGTGGTTTACTGCCGTATCTGTAGATCGACCTTACTTATCATTAGCTAATAATTTTAACTAGGTATTTATTTTTTTGGGAGGTGTCAACGACCGCCCCACCATCAATTCGGTGAAATTATCCACCCAGTTTCCATTCTTCTTTTCATGCACTCTGCAACCCATGACTTATCACCAAAAGCTGTCACATAATATTGTCTGTTCTTATAGGTTCCAGTCAGCGATAGCTGTATCAATTTCATCCTTCTTGTTGAAACACGTATTCAAATCAAAGTTTTCTCTCTTCCCTTTTAACATCTTCACTTCATGTTCATCTGGATCCACTATATTCTTCTTATAATCACCAATGTCTGAATATACATGCTGACCTAAATCAAAAGTGACAAAATTCTATATTGGTTCTGCTTCTGCTTCTGCTCCTTCTTGTTCTTGTTCTAAGTCAGTTTCAACCTACACATCAGTTTGGTAGTCAATTTCTTCTTCACTTTCTAAATAAGTCCGCTCTGATGCATCATCATCATCATCTGAACTACAATCATCATGTTGACCCCCACCTTGTGCCTCACCAACAGATCCATCGCCACTGCTGCTGCTAGGCCCTGCTTCTGCATGTTGTTGAGAATTATTCATCCAGTATTGTTGTGATCAAAATGTGTTTGGTTGTGACCAATGCCCTGCTTATGTGTGTTGTTGGGAAGTATTCCCCCAGTATTGCTGGTACGACCCATAAGTATCCTCCTGTTTTTGTCCAGAAAGATCTAACAAATTTTGGGAATGCATCGTGTCTTCATTTTTTCACATACAGCTCCAAATACGATGAACCTGAAAAATAATAAATAGTTTTCACCGATGAGTCGTCCGTAATTGTTGCGCTTCGTTTTACACCGTTGTTTTCAAATAACAAAATAATCCTCATATTTACATATTCTCTATCCCAACCTGCCTTATCACAAATTCTACCCAAAAACTCAAAATACGACAGCCTGCGCTCAATAACTAAGTCACATCTGCCCTGTTATCAAATGTTCTAATCTTGCCATCCTCTACAATATATTTATTTCTCCAGTACACATTATTAAAATATAGACGAGTACGCGCCATTTTTCCTGTAATAAACATATCATACTAAATTAATTTAATTAGCCACGAATATTTCTGTCCAAATTACCATGATTCTACAAAATTAAAATTTTTTTTATCTAAAGTAAACGATTGCATATGCTATACCAGTTTTAATAAATCTGATTACTCGAATTCTACAATAAAACACAATAATTAAATAAATTAACACAATATTAAATACAACGATTGAATCAACACATTATTAACCTTGATGATGTTAAAAATGTTGCATAAAGAACAGGTTCAAACTTCTTGAATCTTCATAATTTTTTCATTTCGTTCAAAACTTTTCAGCTCTGTGAACAATTATGATTTCATCTCAAATATATACATAAAAATCGATTATAACATTATGTTTTTTATATAAAAGCCTGCCAACACAATACTGCAAACAGTCTTGTCAGTGTCACAGTAATAATTTTGCTGACGAAACTGACAACAGAAAAAAGCATAATGCCTTTACGTTTTTAAGGAACCAAAAAAACGTATTTTGTATTTACGTTTTTTATTTTTACAGATTTTCTTTTTTCTTTTTCGGCGAAAATTATTTTTTCATATTTTCAAGTATTTTAAAAATTAATAAAATAAAAATGCATAATTGAAATATGTTTTTATAATTGCAGTTAGAAAAACAAAAATGTGTTTGTTGCTTATGTTTTCAGGACCACAAAAAAAGAAAGTTTTAAAAATTCCTTCTCTTTTTTTTTTTTTTTGACAATTATTCTCGTCCTTGACCCCCTTCAATGGATTTCTTAATCCTCCAGATAGAATTCCTTTTTTTTTTGGTTGATTGTCGTAGGTTTTTTTTTTTTTTTTTTTTGGCTTCCAAAACATTTGCATTGAATTCTTTTTTTTTTTTTGGTTAAATTTCTGATTTCTCTCTGACTTTACACCTTGAACACACCCTTCTTATAGTTTTAGATATAAACGCACTTTTACATCTTAACCCGAAATAACTGGGCAGAGGAAATGAATTTTTTTTAGGGTACTCCCGCGAACAGATCCAGTGGAGACACAGTAGGGCCTGTTGCTCAAAGGATTAGAGCACGTGGCTACGAACCATAGAGTCGGTTAGCCATATGGCAGTGAATCTATTCCCGAGCCTTGTACACACCGCCCATCACACTATGAGAGCTGGCCATGCCCGAAATCATTACTTTAACCGCAAGGAGGGGATACCGAAGACAAGGCTAGTGACTGGAGTGAAGTAGTAACAAGGTAGCTATAATGAAAGATGCGGCTGAATCACCTCCTTTTCAGGAAGAACTAATGCTTTTTTGGTGTTTTGGTTTGATACTCTTCACATAAATAACAAAATGGTTGAATCAGCGGTAGGGGGTATCATCAGATTCGGCATGACCCCGGGCAAACCGTTGCAAGAAGGAGGGGCTCAAAATCAACTAGCCGACACGCGCTCCCCCAAATCGCGGGTCCTTCGAGAGCCAGAAGAGACCCCATTCATGCCCTACTAAGACCGTAAGGGTGACTTTACTTACGTCAATGCCTATTTTTATGCAAGTCTTACCAAAAGGGGATTAAGTTATTTCGGGAAATATATTCAACTAACTGCTATCCTTTTACAAAATTATTAGAAAAACGAAAATAAATTACGAGGGCCCGAATTCGATTCGAGGATTTATCAGTCAGAAACTCAAAACCCTTTTTAGTCTCTTTCGTTCAGTCTTTCCCTGAGTTCCCTCCCTTTACTCTTCAATGGCCTCTTTAGACGCCGATAACAAGGTGTTCAACGACGTCGCCCGGAAACCGGAATTACTGCGCAAGCTTCTCCGGGAATCTGTTCCGGACTTAAAGCACCCTCTCACCGACTATACCGACCTCCTTCCCATTGTCCATTATGTCCAAAACGGTGGCCTCCTCTGTGAACGTGTTCCTGATTCTACCTGCCAGAAACTCATTGACGCCTGGAAAACCGCCGTCGATGCTTGGGACAGACGGCTTACCTCACTCGCTTCCAGTGATTTGGTGAGTTGTTTTTCTATCCATATTTTGCGTTTCTCCCCTTTCAAGCTTGCGTGTTCCGTAACGACTAAAGCCTTGGACATTTAATTAGCTAAGAGGAGACATTGCAAATTGTTATTGATTAAAGATAAAAAAAAATAAGTTTTCTGTTGTTCCACAAAATTTGTGATTTTTTTTTGGTTAAATTTTTGTAATTTTTTCTTTTGCATATTTTGTTATGAGTCAGATGATATGCTTCGTCTTTTTACGCAAGTATTTTGGGAATGTAATATTTTGATTTCTGTTTATGCTATTCTTCGCACATTCTGTTATCGTTTCAAATTTAGCTATATAGCTGCAATGCTGTAGCAAAGAGCACGCAGTCTCTTGCTTGTATCTCCAAATATTTTTTGGCCAAAATGTGAAAAGAGTTGGGGAGACTGATATTCGGAGATATGTGAAATGTGATGTTTACAGCCAAATAATGTTTATGCCGGGATGTGCTTGCTGAGGTTGACAATTCAAGAATGCAGTGAAGAACGTTTTTCAGCTTCCTATGACGGGTGGTTCAACAACATCATCTTTTCTCATATTCAGGTATTGTGGTTTCTCTTTTCTTTTTCTTGAGTTACGTTGGCAGTCGCAGATTGTCACTTTCCTGAGCATTGCAATCCATGTGCATTTGTTAATCTTGTACAAAAATTGTTTATCATCACCAAATTAACTACCAATGAACGAATTAATGTATTGCATATGAGTGGCTGTTGAAAAAACTGATTTTTAATTTTGTGACAATGAATATTTTTTCACCCTTAAAAGTAATTATTATCTTATGTTTGCTTGCTGTCTGGGTTTGGCAACTATTTTTATGATGATTAGATATGAGGGTTCATTGTTTTTCCAGGGGTTTTTTTTCCCCCTTTGGGTTTTACCAGGGTTATTCGTGGAACTTAACTTCCTCCCGTTTGACTGATACTACAGTCCAAAAGTCCAATCTCACGGATTATGTTTCAACTTTCTTCTTGTTTTTAAAGAAAGAGACTGAAATTTTTTTGAGATCCAGGTGAAGCAAAAGAGGAAACATCATTGTTAAAATATCAACTTCCAAAAATTAAGTTGTGTAAAATAGATCTAACGTAAAATAAGGACCTTTCTGCTTTCTGCTTGCTTTTGGTTGAGTTTGATGCTACAATGCTGAGATACTCTTCCCCTGATAATTCTTTTCAACAAAACAGGATCTCAATTGATTAATTTGAAGATAACCTTTCAAACTTGAACTTAATAACGACTTCAAATTTTGAAAAGGTTATGGTGGCGTACTCTTTTTTCTGTTCTTAAATGATTATGATTCATGTGGCAAACATTTCGTTGGAATTAGAAGAAGCTGTGTTTTGTTGTATGCTGATTTTTTACTCATTTGCTACCATCTCATTGGGTAGGCATCAGAACCCAATTCTCTGAAGGTGGCTTCTTGGGCTTCAGTGTCTGATCTGCTCACAAGGTTTGTTTCTGTACCTTATGAATTGAAAGGCAATTCTCCTTTGCCATCATATCTGTTTCCGTACCCTATGCAAAAGGTAACCCACCGAATAACATTAAGTGTCAATTCCAGTAAATTCTTCAATTTGTTTTCTCTTCAAGCATACATAACAACTTGTGTGTTCTTAAAGGCTTTTGCTTTCTTTCTTTGTTATCCTTTTCCATTGTAAAATTTATAATCCGACTTTAAATTTGTTGAGCAGTTGACTTGGCTTGCCATGACAAGGCATCCTGATTGCTTTTGGTCATCTTTTACTTGAATCAGGTTGGGAGGATCTCCAACTGCGTCTCTAACTGCAAAGAAAGATGGGGCATTAGGCAAAAAGCTTATTCAACCAGTCTTGAAGTTATTATACGAGAAGTCACCTGTTTGTGTATTGGTCTGTACAATTCTGACTGAAATTATTTTCTAGGCAATTAACTATAAAAGTTCTATGGGTATACTCGTGTATATTCTGTTGCAAATCTTGTCTGCCCAGTTTTTCTGTCTTTCGTATCTCGAGGTTTTTTATTTCATAGCTCAATAGGAATCTCCCCGTATTATTCCAAATATTATATCTCTTGGAGAGAGAGAGTTGTTGAATTTCCACGAACTTCAAAATTGGGGTAAACTTCTCCAGTTGTGCAGTAGGAATTATGGCTACTCAAAGTTGCACAAAGCATTTGGTTTAAACCTTTTTCATTAGTTTAATTGGAAAGATATATGGAAATCTCTCTTTAGTTGAATTACTATCTTGGAGTAAGTTGTGCTTAAAATAAAACTTTTTTTTTTTGAATTGGTGCTTAAAATTAAACTGAAAAGTGAAAGCAGTGAAATATGTTTGCATGGGATGGTGCATTCCATTTTTTCTTCTGGGGGGTTTTTATAGACAAACTGCTCTTGTAATTCATTGAGATGATCAATGGAAAATTCTAGTTGTGTATGATACTCGATTCACCCCCCCAACCCCAAAACAAAAGCCTTTATACTTTCAAGTTCATAGGAAATGGATGTTCGTTGGTCTGCTTTCTTTTCAACTATGTTACGATATGGTTGAAGATGCAATTTCTTATAAAAAATGCATGGAATAGTATCATTTATTTTCATGTTGGTTGTCACGACTATGCACAACTTGTCCCCCCTCAATTATCGTTCAAATGTCTTTCCTCTGATGCACTTATGCAGGAAGAAGCCATTCGTTCGTTGCGCGCACTAATTAATTTCTTTCCGTTTTCCGTTAATCACCAGTATGATAATGTAAGTAATTCTTTGTTTCTTGTAATATTTTGACCTATCCTGGATATCGTTTTATTGATACTCCCTAAATTTTTGTTATTCTTTACTGGGAATGTGAATGTGTTAGTCATCCATGAATCTCATTTTGGTACATTGGAGAAAAACGGCAATGAATTTGTACCTAATTTTGTCCAAAAGAATGTCATGAAATTCATTGTTATCACATATTATGCTATCTGCGAATCTTGTTTGAGGATCATATTTCTGAGAGTGAATATAACCAGAAAATTAGAAGGGTAATGGTATCTCTGGTCTTGAGATCTTATTGTTTAAGACCTAGTGGATTCGGCAATTTAAGTTCATGTTTCTACTTGGCACGGAAGTTCTTGGATAATCATCTTAGGTGAACTTCTTAGTTAATTAATCTTGATATTTGTGAGTATAAGCATGGAGAAAAAACAACTCTCAAGTGCATCTTTTGACTGGTTGGAGAGAATTGGCATGTGGAAATTATTAAGGGCATTTTTCTGTGTGGGGCTTAACTTGTAAAGCCTGCGCTTTTTTCTCTTTTAATATTGATTTCTGTACCTTTATCTAAATTTTATTATTCAGCTGCCATCCTACTTTGATAATGTGTTGAATGAGATTATCGCAACAATAACAGATTGATGACATAACAGCTACTCAGTGGCTTTCTTGGCCTGGCCCAATGTGAATGCTGCTTTCTTGTTGGCTGATCTTATTTGCAATTAACTGATTTACAGAAATTTTACAGGTTGAAGCTGCACTTTTTTCAAGATTTATGTCGGAGAATGACAACACTGATTTGTTGAAGGTGCACAAATCAGTTAGTATAACCGTGATTTGGCTTGTTATAGAGATGCAACCAGACTTAATTAGTTTTGCTTGCAGAAACTTGGTGATTGCTTGTTAATGCTTCCTAAATCAAAAGGAGATGCGGATAGCTGGTTGATTATGATGCAAAAAGTCTTGCTATTCATCAATAGTCAGCTGAATGTTGCATTTGAAGGTCTAAAAGAAGGTAATATTTGGAGTAGTTTGGCATTGCTACCATGTCTTGCTGGCATTGTAATTCAGCTGACCCATCTTCTACTCTTAATTTCAGAGACAAATAATAATGAGGTAGTCAGGTTATTAGTTCCACCAGAAAAGGGCCCCCCATCTCCCTTAGGAGGTCCCACAGCATTAGAGAAACACTCAGATCTGGCTAAGAAATGGCCTGAACGAGTGCTGGTGTCTAGAGTGTCTACCTTAATGTCTTGCTGTACCATGATGCTTAGTGGTTATCCTGTTCAGGTAGTATGCCTTTTGTTTTATTGTTAATTTTATGAGAAGGACCATGTATATGTTTTGGTATTGCTGCAAAGGAGATGCGCAGACTTTTAACATTTTAACATTTCAACTGGTATTACACAGGTTGAAGTGCCTGTTCGTCCGCTGATAGCACTTACTAAGAGAGTGCTAATGGTTGATGGCTCCTTATCTCTGTCCTCTCCTTTCAATCCTATCTTGAGACATGAGTTCATGTGCGCAGAACTTCCAATGTTGCATAGCTGCAGTCTGGATCTCCTTAGATCTTTAATAAAGGGACTGCGGAGGTGACTTATAATATTCTCTTATACATTCTTTCTTGTTTCATCTGATTCCAAAGTAGATAGTTTTCACTCAAATAAGCTCTTTGCAGCCAATTATTACCGCATATGGCAGATATCACGAGACTGCTAACAGAATATTTTAGAACCTGTTCGCTGCCGGAAATAAGGATCAAGGTTTACTCGGTTTTGGAACTTTTGCTGCAATCTATGGGAATAGGTAAGCAGTTTCACTGTTACATTATCTTTTCAAACACTTCATTCATAGACAGTTGAGGCTTGGCAAGTGAACTATAGGTTCTTACTTTGCAATTATGCTTGTCATGGCTGTGTAGTATTTGCTGTTTGTTCTTTGTGGATCTTTTGCATTCTCTTACAGTTGCGGCATTGATACTGTGCATTTTATCGATATTCTGTTTGTAAAAGTCCAAAGGTAAAGACTACGTGAGTATACATCCTTGCAAGAGTGGTTTATAGAATGCAAGGACTGATGTAACCAGCTTCTTATAAAAGAGGATCACAACTTTTAGTTATTTACTCTTTTCTTAGAACATTGAAGAGATCTCTCTTACATCAGTTATTTGAATATAAATTTTTGGAGGAATTCTGGATACCCCTTATTTTTCCTGTCTACCTGTTCATTTCTCCTCAAAGCGGTTATCATTTGCAGGGATAGCAATATATCTCATCGAGGTTGTTACAAGCAATGCTTTCATTGATTTGGGTTCCTCTTTTCATGAAAAGAGTAGTACCTGCTATGCTGGATCCTACAAGACGTCAGAAGAAGCAGAGCAACAACCTTCTCACAAAAAAAGGAAGCTTGCAACTTCTACTGGATCTCAGGAAGAGGTATCTCAAAGAGGTAGTCTAGATGGGGAGAGATCCAGAAGTTTGAGTCCGATCTCTGTCAGGATTGCTGCATTGAAGGTGTTAGAAGAACTTTTGACTGTGGTATGTTCCATCTTTAACTATTTGATCATGTAGTATGTGGATTTGAGAGTTTAGTAAGCACCAAAACCAACGAAAATATGCCCTTTGAACTCTTCTACTCTTTGCAACACCACAACCATTGTGAGATTGCTGAAGAGAATAATAAATTAGTCTATAAATTATAGGTATCACAGACTGCCGTCCTGTCCTGCTACTTTCTATGAGATTGAGCTGAGTTTAAAATTGAGAAGCTCCTATTGTGTCCTGTTTGATAATTTTGCCTTCGAACTTCTTCTTTCCTTACTATTATCAAATGTGGATTCCTGTTTAGGTGGGGTAAACTATCATTTCTGTTCCTTTTGGAGATAACTATAAGACAATAGCTGAATCTTTAGCCTTCAGTACCTTTCTTCTTGCACTTTGCCTGTAGTCAACTATATGTCTTCAACCAACTAATCTCTTAAACTAAAAGCCATTCTTTTGTGGTTAGGCTCTCTGTTCATAAACATCTACTCCCTCTTTGTTAATCCTTTGTTTATGTTTTTAAAAGCTCAGTTTTACCTCCTGTCTACAGGCAGGTGCGTTTAGATCAGAGAGTTGGCGGCCAAAAGTTGATAATCTCCTTATAGGAGTAGCAACAAACGCTTGTAAGGGATTGGCTCATGACAGAAATGCTGCTCCGATGTGGCAAAAATTTCAATGTGCTGCTTTGAGTGCACTTAAGGCATCTCTCCTTTCTCCTGGTCGTGTTCGTTCACCACATCTCCCTCAAAGTCTTGAAATTTTCCGTAAAGGTGAACATTCCTCTGACCCTTCCAAGTTTTCTTTAAATTGAAGCCAGTCAGCTAGGTTTGGCAAGAATTCTTTCATGCTCTTTTGTTACATGTCATTGTCCGATAAAACTGTAGTGCTTTCCTAGCACCTAAGTACTGTTAGAATCTGCTGAATAGGAATCCTTTGTTGTTTCTTGTGGGAAACCTGAGAATGGCTATACTATGTACAATTTAGAATCAAGCTTCTGCTGAATAGGAATCTTTTGTTACGGTAAAATTGATAGATACTGTGAACGAGAGCAGAGACTGAATCAAGTTGGATCAAATGATTAATATTAACCCTGGTTAAATTTGAAATTTTGCACCTTTTTTTTTTTTTTTTTTGCACTTAAATGTCTCTTTCAATTTACCCAAAAAAAAAAAAACAAATAAAAGATTTCTGTTTCAAATGGCCGGCAGGTACCAGAGAAATTGGGACAACGATATATGGAGAGTGCTCAAGTGCATTGTTGTCCTTGGAAGTGCTCATACATCCCAGAGCCAACCCTTTGATAGATTATCAATCTTTTGTTGTCGATGATGATGATGCTGGTGGTGCAAGCCTTAAGCTTCCCAAATTCAGTAATCACATAAAGAACGACTCTTCCCTTATTAGCATGCAAGCAAAGCAGCCCTTTCAGACACATTCTGACGACGACTTGTATAAGAGTTGGATAAATACGGAAACAGAAGTTGGAATTGGAAAGAATACTGCCACTGATGAAGATCCATATGGGATGTCTGATGATTGTCCATCTGTTATTGGAGTGGATAACCTCGGGCATTCAGTGGCTATTGCTGCTGATACAATTGCAGTAGATGGGGATGAGATGAGAGTTGAATCAATGGCGGAGGAAACACAGAAATTGCTTGTCACAACTAGTGACCACTCAGCCATCAAATCACATAGGTTGGTTTCAGACAGTGTTGCGTCGAACTCCAAGAATGCGTTTGCTGAGGCACCAGAAAAGCACGACTATAATTCCCAAGGTGGTATGGACAAAACTGCGATGCAAGGGATTGAAGCTCCAGCATCTGAAAAAGAGGTGGAGGACCTAGATAACAGTCGCAGTAAGATCTTGGATGAAATTTCAGCTAGGGTTGCTGCTACAACGGCAAATGTAGGAAAAAGTACAACTACAGCATCTAATGCTGAAGATGATGATGACTATATTCCAGACATTATTGATGCTGAACCGGACTCGGAGTGAGTGTAAGCTGCAAAGATACATGAATTTATGCAATGATTAGGGAATCTGAATTAAAGGTAATTCGTTTTATTCATTTATGCCAAGTAGTTTACAAAGATTGACGGGTCTCTTATAAAAGCTTCCTCCCCGTTTCGCTAGTAGAAGATTCTTTTACCCTGGCAAGTGACAGAAATTCTCGTCACTGCACTGAGTGCAATGTCATAAAACAGTAACAATTTTGTATTAGTATCAAACAAAAACGTGATTCTTTCATAGCAAACAGGGTTTGACTTTAATTGTTTACTATTTTGCCGAGAAAAACGCACTTTGGTAGACAAAGTCAAAAACGAAGTGCTCATACCACTTAAAAATTAGAATCTAAAGTGTGCTTTGCAGTTGGAGAAGTCATTATTTTGAGTCGAGCAATTTTGACTTTGTTACACCCGACTCGGTTAATTGCTTTATAGTGTGATTTGATCAGTGAAAGCTTTGATGGATGGCCGTTTTAGTTTTGGTAAAGCAATTGTGAGGCAAAGTAGACAAATGAATGGATTTGCAAATATGCCGCTATGATGCCATTTCTTGGGGGTCATATGGAACTCTCCATCCAAAGTAATTTGTGCCGTCCATTTCTCATTCATTCTGTGTACCCTAGTAGTCGATCATCTCCAAACGAAAACTAGAATCCTTCCTCCGTTAGGTTAATTTTTGTGATATCTTCTACCTTCATTCTGAATTATGATGTTACATAAATTTAAAATTAATCTTAGTTCAAATAATTAATCTTAGTTCAAATTTGCGCTTTATTATTAGAAATTAAAAAAAAAAAAAGTATTTCAAACTCTTTCATTTAAAATAATTATTCTGTTTATATCCTATTGTTTTAGTACGACACATTTTGGGACTAAAAAATTTTCACAGTTTTTTCTATCATAAATTGACGCTTTCTCTCGCCTACCTTTGTTGATCAAAAATTAATTTCAGATGTGTTTATTGGCCACAAAAAGGAGTTAAGAGATATATATATTATTAATGAGTCCACTGCCGTCAGTGGTTGCTGGCTGGCTGGGCATTTCGGACTTTTACGAATTCTGTTTCAGACAGACACCTTAAAAAAGGTTTTTTTTTTTTTTTCATATTTTGAGATGCTGCATTTGTTCATATTTTGCAATTCAGTAAGAAATTTAACCATTATTATGGTCAGGCAAAATGGAAAAAAAAAAAAAAAAAGAAGCTAAAAATTAATCTTAGAATAAGTATGAAGATCTCCTTCCTTATTTAGGCACATGTTCCTACAGTTGGACTACCTGGTAGGTCCCCACCATTCCTAAGTTTCAACGAAATATAAGAAGAACGTCTAACTAAAACATTATAAAAAAAAAAAAAGAATTTTGTAGCTGCTTTGCTCCTCTTCAAACTCTTGGAGCTTCCCACCCTCACTCATCATTCTTTTTGTATAAATTCACCCGGATCCCACTACGAAAATCCAACACTCACCAACATCCTTTCTGAGATCCAATCCCAATTTTCTGATCCCTTTTCACCATTTACTTTCTTACTTAACTCAAACCTGCCTCTTTCTCGATAGATTACTACTGTTTTTCCAAGTGGAGGGAAGGAGGGAAAAGAAAAAGGGAGAAAAAGTTTGATTCTTGTTGAAAAGCTGCGTCAGGATTGGAAAATGGCGGAGAATAAATCATGGGTTTTGATGGTGACGGCGCAGACGCCCACCAATATAGCTGTGATCAAGTATTGGGGGAAGAGAGACGAGAACTTAATCCTCCCCATCAATGATAGCATCAGCGTCACCCTCGACCCTGCTCATCTCTGCACCACCACCACCGTCGCCGTCAGCCCCTCCTTTACCCAAGACCGCATGTGGCTCAATGGCAAAGTATTCTTCTTTTCCATTTATTTATTCCTTGGTTTTGCAGTTCGTGGGCATTTCTGTTTTTTTTTTTTCTGGTATTTAGGTAGTTCTAGACTGATGAGTTTGACTTTTACTAATTGTGTTTTGGGTTTGTTTCCTATGTTGAATCTGTATTGATTTTTGGATGGTTAGTGTAGGAGATATCGCTTTCTGGTGGTAGATACCAGAGCTGTTTGAGGGAAATTCGATCTCGGGCCACTGATGTTGAGGATGAAAAGAAGGGTATCAGAATTACCAAAGAAGATTGGCAGAATCTGCATTTGCACATTGCTTCTTACAATAATTTCCCTACTGCTGCTGGCTTGGCTTCCTCAGCTGCTGGCTTAGCCTGTCTTGGTACCACACCCATCCCATTTCTTTTGTTGAGATTTTTGTTCTTTATTGTTTACATGGATTCAATGCAAATGAACTATCCTTTTCCTCTTGTACTTGCTTGATTGACATTGTCAAACATTTGGATGCTGGGAGCCATTACTTAGGCCTATTTTTCACGATACAAAAAGAGAGAGGGAGGGGGAAGGAGACAAAGGGTTGACAGTTTGTTGGTTTTCCATTTGCAGTTTTTTCCCTCGCGAAGCTGATGAATGTGAAAGAAGACAACAGTCAACTTTCTGCCATAGCCCGGTATTCCCTCAATGCCTTTTCAGTTGGTTCTTCTATCTCAAAACTTATCCCTGGCTGCCTGTGATTTACTAGTTTGATAAAATTCTCCTCATCGTACTTATGGACTTGGCATGTGCCCCTCGTGATAACATCAAATGCCTGATCTCTTCAAAATCTTCTTGCATAACTAACTAGTAAATTACAATATTGTTGCTTTGCTGATGCACAGACAAGGCTCGGGAAGTGCTTGTCGCAGTCTTTTTGGTGGATTTGTTAAGTGGATCATGGGAAAGGTACATCCTATTCATGACTGTTAATTGTGATGTTTGGAGTGGCACAAAGATATCTTCTTCAATGTTATTGCATTAATTGTGTTTCCTGGAAATATTAAGGATGAAAGTGGAAGCGATAGCATTGCCGTTCAACTTGCTGATGAAAAGCACTGGGATGAGCTTGTTATTCTTATTGCAGTGGTATGGACTTTAGTTTTTCATCTGTACATTTGTTCTTTTAAAACCCATAGTCTTGAAATTTGATTTTTCATCTGTACATTTGTTCTTTTAAAACCCATAGTCTTGAAATTTGAGTATGTCTTTGATTGTAGATTGTTTTTCCTTTCCACTTCCTATATTTAGTGTGTGTTAGGGCAGGAAGCTTTTAAAGCAAGTTCTGTAAATAATGACTTAGGATACAATGTGGATGCTGTAAATTTTTGTATATTCAGTCCCGCATCACTTATTTATCCTCACCTGTTGATTAACAGCAAAGATACTGCATCAGTGGAGAGAAAGGTTTTGGTTACTGTGGCTTGCATATTATCAGAAAATCCCGTCCTTTTAAGCATAGCTCATGAATTCTTTCTTGTAATGAGAACTTGTGTTTTCTTGTGTTCTTTTTCTCATCATAATTTTCCTCGTCTTCTGTATGTATAAATTAATGAAATGTGCTGCTGATATACTCAGGTAAGTTCACGCCAGAAGGAAACTAGTAGCACCAGTGGAATGCGTGAGACAGTTGAAACTAGTCCACTTGTACTACACAGAGCAAAGGTACATCTATGTGCCTGAACAAGTTTCTCTATGCCTTTTTGTGGTCATTATATATGCATATATTCATATGAGCCTTTCAAGTATAAAGTTATAGGTTTAATTCTTACCACTTATTGCACACTTAATGACAGAAGTTTTATGAGTTTTTTTTTTTTTTCTCTCTTTGCCCTTAATATGGCAGGAAGTGGTACCTAAACGCATAATTGAGATGGAGGAAGCCATACAAAACCGTGACTTCCCAGCATTTGCTCGTCTGTCTTGTTCAGACAGTAATCAGTTTCATGCTGTCTGCCTGGATACAAGTCCCCCAATATTCTACATGAATGACACATCACATAGGCAAGTATTCCAGACCTATTTTCTAGTCTGACTTATTCTTGCCAAAGCAAGTTGGTCAATTTCAAGCACTCTGAAAGCTGTAGTCCTAACCAGTAAAAATTTCATCTGTGCAGGATAATCAGCTGTGTTGAGAAATGGAACCGTTCCGAAGGAACACCTCAGGTACTTTATTTAATTTTTGCTTTGTAGGCTTCTTGGTTATCCATTGCAAATGGAGATGGAAGAGTCATTATTGACAATTCTTTCAGCTTTTTGCTAATAATGGATTAGATCAAAGTGGCTCATTTAAATTCCGATGCTTCTTAATTTGGTGAAGTTGCCGGAAATCAATATATCAATGTACCAATGCATCTTGGGTCGTACTACTTAAAACAGCCTCTCTGTATTGAAAACTGGGGTAAGGCTGCGTACATCTTGACCCCCTAGACACCACCGAGATGGGAATATACTGGGCATGTTGTTGTTATTGTTGTTGTAGGCTTCTTGGTTTTCCCTCGATTTCCTTGCAAGTTTCAATTTTATTTCTTTTGAATATGCGTCAAGGATCAGTTCACCATGGTCAGATTGCTTCATGTATATCTGTATAAGTTGCAAGTTCCTGGATCTTATATCTTAATGTACAAACTGCTGGATTAACTGTAAAACCATTGCCATTATATTCTTGTTTGGTACATAGCTGGCCTTTGTATATCCTTCTCTTCTTGAATGTCTTGGTTTAGTGATTCTCTTTGCTACTTATGAAGTTGAATGTTGTTACTTTTTGTCTATGTGCCTAAGTTTAGTTAGCTGGACAGAATCACTTGGTGATGTATGATAATCAGTTTGCTCTCATGAATTACACAGGTGGCTTATACCTTTGATGCCGGGCCGAATGCAGTTATGATAGCCCGCAACAGGAAAACTGCTGCTCTCCTGCTTCAGAGACTGCTCTTTCATTTTCCTCCACAATCTGATGTAGATATTAACAGGTTGGCGAACATTTACTTTTTGGCAATTCATTCATGTAAACAGCATACTGATCTCCCGTTCCATCAGTCAGTGGTGATTCTGTCAATCAATTTAATTCTCCATCTGCGTGTGTGATCCCAGCATATTCAGAAACATGATCATTCTGACAAACTCCATGTTCCTCTTATTTTGTGCAGCTATATTGTTGGTGATAAATCAATACTACAGGATGCTGGTATTCATGACTTAAAAGATGTGGAAGCACTACCTCCTCCTCCAGAAATCAAGGATAGCATTCAAACACAAAATTTTAAAGGAGATGTTAGTTACTTTATCTGCACAAGGCCTGGAAGGGGACCGGTTTTGCTAACAGAGGACAGTCAAGCTCTCCTAAACCCCGATACTGGTTTGCCTAAGTGAAAGCTGTGGCTTTCTAACTCAGCCTAACTTTGCGTGTTCCCCACAGCTTGCAACTGCCTATTCAAACTTTTAAAGTTCATTTTTCCCGAGTGTATCTATAATTTAGATATTCTTTTTCTCAGTCATTATTCTTGTACTCTTGTTTTGCCTGCAAGGTAACGAATAAGATTTTCGATATCAAAGATCAAAGACTAAACCACACAAAACGTTCTTTCAACAAGATATATTTTCATTCCGTACATCATCTTCTTAGAACTTGTGGAAATTTGTCATCGTCTTCAACCTCACTTTCTGAAAGTCCATCCACCAATATGGGAATTGTATGGCTGTAGTTCGAATGTTAGAGCATAGGAGTAGATTCTCCGCAGACCATGAGGAGCTGCTCTGCCGACACAAATAAGAGGCCTGCTGGACTGAGGAGTGGACGATCCAACTTGACCATAACTTCAGGGAGACAAACTTTGCGGCGGACTCGCTCGCTGGCTAAGGGAGCTCGTCCGAAGTTTTGGCATTTTGTAGCCCACCAGTACGGTTTAAGACGTGGATTCAACACGATGTATCCGGGTCTCCATACCCGCGGATTGTAATGAATTGAGGCTATGCCTCCTCCTATTCAAAAAAAAAAGAAAAAAAAAGAAAGAAAGAAAGGGTGTTGACCGGCTTTCGCTGTACAGGACACCGAATTCAACAAAGTTCGCCCAAAAATATTTTTCTCTAAGAGATTAACTGTGATGATGTCGCTTTAGATTTTATACTAGGGTTTAATTCCAAAAATGGAATCAGATATGAGGACAACAAAGCAAAGAGAAGGAAGGGCAAATGTAGCAAAAGATTGAGGGTTGAGATGAAGTCATACAGAACAGAAGGAAAGAGAAAGAAAGAAAGATGATCATAAGATTTTTCCACTTAATAAGCCATTGCACAACATTCTGATCTCCTCTCTTAATAAACCTTCGTTGCAAAATCTTCTCAGGGATGAGTTTACCTTCTTCATCATCTTCATCCAACTCAGGTAGTTCAGTGGATATGACAGAAAGTTTACCAGCACGTTTTTTAAGAAGAGACACATGAAACACGGTGAATTCTTGAATGAGTAGGGAGTTGCAGCTTGTATTCTACATTACCAACCTTCTCTAGGATTCTGAAAGGTCCATAACACCTCTGAGACAATTTGAGGGCAGCTCCCATGGTCATTGATTTCTGTTTGTAAGGATGTAACTTGAGGTACACCCAATCCCCCACTTGCAAAGTTCTTTCTGTGCGTTTTTGATCAGCATAGAACTTGATACGAAATTGTGCCTTTTCCAGATTTTCCTTAAGGATCTTGAGGACTTGCTGCTTCTGTTCCAACATATCCCCTACAGCTGGTATCACCACAGATTGATAGTCTCCCAATGGCAGAAAGTTTGGTTTTACCTCATATAGTGCTTCATAAGGGTCATCTGAGAACTTTTATGATAAGTGGTATTGTACCACCATTCTGCCATCACCATCCATTCTGACCATTTGTTGGATTTAGCATTGCAAAAACACCTGAGATTTAGCATTGCCATCACCATCCATCAGATTGAGGGTAATATGCAGTACTCATGCACAACTTGACTCCCATGGTTTGAAACAATGCATTCCAGAAGTGGCTTGTGAAAATGCGATCCCTATCACTGATGATGGAGTCTGGAATTCCATGTAAACGAAACACCTCTTTGAAGAAGGTTTCAGCCACCTGTTTAGCTGTAAAGGGGTTTTTCATTGGTACAAAATGAGCATACTTAGTAAGGCGATCCACCACCACCATAATGGAGTCAAAACCAGTTGTAGAAGGAGGAAGTTTCTCAATAAAGTCCATGGAAATGCTTTTCCAGGCTTGTTGTGGAATCTCCAAAGGTTGTAGTAATCCAGGGTATTGCAAATGCTCATTCTTATGAGTTTGACATATAACACATTCTTTCACATAGTCTTCAACTTCCTTCTTCATATTAGGCCACATAAATATGGCTTTCAGTCTCTGAAATGTTGCAGCCTGACCTGAAATGTTATGTTGTTCTATACTAATCGTGTATGTGTCTCCACCCCTGTCTAGGAGGTAATTATTAGTGTAGCAATTCAATTTTGATGTGTTGAGTAATCTTTCCCGTACATAATATGAAGACAAATTAACTATACCCAACCCTTTATCCCAAATGACGTTTCTTGCGTTTACACAAGACACTTACCAAGTGAAATTTCAGGAAGTAAAAGAACATAGCTACCATGACTGAAAGAGAAACTTATCTTAACTGATACACTCTGTCCCGGGTTTACACAGCAATATATCTTGTTCCCACATGCCACATTCCCCAACCATTTTGATTTAGATCGTTGAGAGAGATTTGTGTCCAGCCATTGAAAATTTTGGGCACTGATGGATTTCATCCAACCTTGAACCTCCGCTTCAGATCAATTACATCAAGCATCTTAGAAACTACTCAAAAAACTTTTGCCAAATGCCAAGCATGGATTTTTATCCATTGTATAAGGTGGTGTATAGGACATGAGTTTATTACTGATCAATAAGGAGGCGGATAGAGGTGGATTTTAGTGATGTGAAAGAAAAGTGAGTACGATATCAGACTGAAGCAACAATAAGAACAGTTTATCCATGTGATGGTGGAGGAGGATGCCATTAGGTGGTGTTCAAAGAGCACAATTACGGAGTATGTAATAGGGTGTATGTAATAAGGTCTTTCTGGCTAGTTCTTTTATGTATAGTGTGCTATATTCAAGAAAAACTCCTTATGTGAGGGTTTAACAAGATTATCTCAGTACAACCCTCTTGTTGTAAATCGGGAAAAGAATGTGAAGAGGCCATCCCGGTTTGGTAACATGTTGGGCTGTTGGCAATTTGGAAATAGGAGGGGAAACATGCTGAATAGTCCAGTTAGTCTCAAAATTGAGGAATCTGAAACTTGCTTTGAAAGAACTAAAAAAACTGAAATTCAAATGTAGTATAGAACAACATAACATAGGAAGAACTCTAATGTAAAATTAGAAGCACTGCAATCTGATCCCCCTTAATATCAGGAATTGGAAAGGGAGATAAAATGGAGATCCTTTACAATGCAAAAAGGTATGGATGTCCACCACAGAAAACCACTTAATATTCCATGTCCAAAAGGTGGTGCATCTACAATAAGTTCTAAAAAGGGGAAGGTCCAAAACACAAAGATGTGGAAGCACAACGGTGACAAATAAGATTTTCAAGATCAAAGATCGAATCTCATGGGTGTTAAGGATGGATATTAGGATTTAGAATCCACTTATCCACTCATTGAATTCCCTCTTTTCTGTAGAAGTAATAACAGGGTTCGCTTGTGAGATTCAATTCAACAATACATGAAACCTACTGCACATCTCTTCTCAGGAAATATGCTTCTGGGACAAGTGCTACTTACAGCAGAAACAATTGATTAAATGCTCAAGCAAACATCCTTTTTTTTTCCCTTTCTCAAGTAAACATCCATAAACATGACTACCATTAAAAAATAAAAAATTAAAAAAAAAAAAACTGGTAGTCCAAAAGAATTAATTTTACTGATGAAAACAACTTGAATCAGAAGCTATTTTCCCCCATCTAGAAGTGCTCTTAGGATGGCCTCTTTGTTGTCATCGGCTAACCCAAGCAAGTGCCCAGCCCCTGGTATCTCATGATAGTGTATCCATGGAAGCTTTTCAGCAATGTACCGCTGCAATGTTACAGGCACCAGGCCATCTTCATCGCCTTGCCACAAATGAATTGAACCTTCACCATTAGGAAAAGGGTCTTCAAGATCCATCGGACTAAATTCCCACTTCCCAAATCCAACATTCATATCCTTATGAAAGGACTCATATAGACCTTGTTGTGTTGGATATCCCTTCAGGTAGAAAGAAGATACAAATCAACCATCTTAACTCAGGGACAATGGCAATTTTATCATCTCTAAATCATCAAACAGAACTTGCATTTAACTTTGATGATTATCAACACCAGAAAAATTATGTTCAGTGTCATATTTGTCTAGGCAGGTTGGTTTCAATAGAGCATTATGGTTGAGTATTTTGTATATCATTTGCAACAAGAATCAAACTAATGAGAAGTGTTGTACAGATCAATAAACTGGAGGATAGGAAGTGGTACCATTGGAGTTGGTCTATCTCGAAGCTTGGATACGAGTTCTAGATCTTGGCGAGATAACGTCGGTCTTCCAGATGCCACACTTGAGGAAGGAAACAATTTCTGAGTGTTCCACCAGTAGGTGAGCCAAGGGGCGTAATAGGCAACTCGAAGAGACCATTGATCCTCAGGATACTGCTGATAGTATGCTTCAGCGGACAACTTTGGTGGGAAGCCAGGCCACCGGTAATTGACAACTGGAACAATCAGTGCAACTCCAGCTAACCTAACAACATTCGAAATCATGATCTACATAATTGAGTCCACGTCGAAAAAGACCAGAATCAATGAGTTAGAAAAGAACACATGATTTTTATTGATGAGCTTACATCCAACATCAAAAGTGTCTTTTGCATATATCACTAAGTTTTCTAGAGAAATTTGTATCCAAGTCAAAAATTGGTGTGGAGTCCTGCACACCATTTTTCTTTTCCTTTTTGTTTTTTTGTTTTTGTTTTTTTTTTTTTTTTTTTCTGAAAAGGTACACTGTTTGTGATTGCCTGAAACTCAAAATCCTTAAGCAGAAAGTATTTTAGACTCTGAGCTATATCCAAGCAGTGGAAAGGCAAAATCATGAACCAGGTGAGGTAGAAGAGAGTGGTTCCATGATATATTATGAATTACCTGTGAGAGATGTACTTGAGGCAACCCCAAACTGCTTGTCCACCCATGGAGGTCCCAACGACATAAAATTTTGATCCCAGTTCCAACTGATCAGCAAGATCTTCTATATCGAGTGCTAAACTTCGAACGGATCGCTTTGGGTCGGGATCACTTTCTCCATAACCAGGTCTATCAAAAGATACAAAATAGACACCAAGTTCTTGAACGGCTTCCTGGATAGCAGAAAAACTTTTGAAAGCTGTTCTTAGAGAATCTCACAGTTTATATTGATCAGGTTGTACTCATATTTAAAAATAACGGGAGTACCGCAGTTGCAATTGAAGCGTCATACTTGCTGCCGCTGAAGCCATGAACTAAAACAACCTTGTATTTGGCTGAATCTTTGGGAACTCCATACTCCAAATAAGCCAAATATCTTCCATCTCTGAGTTTAATTCTTGGTCCAGTTACTGGTGGACCACCAGGAGAACCACAGATTCGAGGAGGTGGAGGCCGGATTGCTTGGAAAAGCCACGCCAGAAACCCAATGAACAAGACTGCGGTAACTGTTTTAAGCATCACTGAAACAAAAACAAAACTTTAACCACTTAAATAAAGGAAGATGGATGTCTGGGATGAATGCACCGACAATATCATGTAAGTTCAATCAACGAAAGTAGTACACCTATGTTCCATTTTCAGTCCAATCACTTGGAAACTACTAGCATCATTTCGACCCTAAGTACTGAAATTAGGGTGAATGTTGGATACCACTAAAACATAAATGAATCGGCTAAAATCTCAGTAGAACAGAATACCCTCCCCCATGCTCGTTGTAACTAGCAATCGTTAGAAAATTTAGAAATCATAACAATTAAAAAAAAAAAAAAGGAATTCACAATGAAGAAGAATGAGCCATGTTTGCGTAGCCAGGAGATAGTTCACATTGCTCGACAATGCAACACAGGAACACTCATTCATCCAAACATGATGCAATTTCCATTTCATTTAACGTAATGAAACAGTTTGCTTTCAAACTACGAATGCACTTCCATAACGAACTAAAAATCAGAGTGTTTTACTCAACCCACCAACGAAAAAAAGCATCATCCAGTAAAGTGGAAGCAGGGCCAATTCTGAATACTAAACAAATTTAGATGATCTTCTAAATGAAAACCCAGAAAACCAAAATCGATAAAACCATAAAGCTTGGAATCAAACTTAAGTGCAAAATGAAGTCAATGGTGTACCGCTAGGCACCAGAAGCGAAGGGGAGGATGCAGCTTCTGTGATGGCCATAGCCTTTAAAGGGGTGAAGTAGAAAGAGAATGACGCCATCCTCAAACTATGGGAATGTTGATTATGAGGCTGGGGAGCCCAATTTCTGGATAGTTCAAATCTTTGGGGTTTTGACTGAAGAAGAAGACCCGATGGTTTCAAGAACCCAGTAAACGGGGGACTTTTCAAACGACTAGAAACAGGGGCAAGTCTTGGATTCCATGTTTTGGACAGAGTTCCCAGATGACGGTAAATCATGGTATTTTACAGAGGAGGATACTTGAGGAGGATATTGGGTTCATGCGGCCGGTGGAGATAAGGCTGAGCCACCCGCCGGACCCCAAACCATTGAATGTATGTCTGTGATCCTGTACGATGTGGACTTCACAGCCATTCCAGTTTTTTTACTTTTTTTTTTTTTTTTTTGCTTTTTCCAAGAATTTTTATTCACTGCGTGTGTTTTTATTCTATGGCGGGGACCTTAGGGAGAAAAAAAAAAGTATCTTTATCAAACTTTCTTAATTTCAAAAGCCAGAAAACACAGAAAGCGATCATGAACAACGAAATTTGAGACGAAATGGAAACAATCAAATTTGGGTGTCCATCTAATCCACAATCAAATGCATGTATACTGAAGTAGAGGGTGGCAGAAGAAGAGAACCTGAAAGAAATCGAAGAAACCCGAAATGCTTTCCTTAAACAATCTGGTAAGTGGTAATCAATCTTCTCTGAGCAGAAAAACTGAAAGTGAAAGGATGTACTGTAATAATGAATCACGTAAAAGTGTTATGGGGTCATATGGGATGGCGAATAATTCAAATATGAGTACAGAATATTAAAAAACATGATTATGGTTGGGGTGGTTGGACTTTTGGAGCAACATTGAGGAGATTCTCAGTAGTTGGGACAACCCAACCTAACAAAATTGACCATTTAGATGTTTTCATACACCAACTAGTATACAATAGTGACGGCTCTTAATCCCAATATTCAAGTCAGATTCTTGTTGGAGTGGAACCTTAGTTGAAAACACTCTACGATGGTGGTAGTTGGAGAGGAGCTCTTTTTCCTTCTAAAATTATGTCTTTGTCCTGGAAAAAAGGGTTTTGATAAAGGCCTTTTTTTTTTATATGTGATTGAAACTCAAAAATCTGAAACTGGAATTGACTCCTGTCATTGTCTGTTACTAGTTTAGTGTAATTTTTAACTCCACATTATTCAAATATAAGAATATTTGATTGTCATATTTGTTTGCAATAACAAATTTGATTTATTATATCAAGTCATCCCTTTGGCATAATCCAACATTAATTAGTAATTACCCTATATCTAAGTTCTTAGGATGATGAAATAGACTGCATCTGTTCATCCTCAACGACGATTTCCTGTTGTATGATTCTGTCAATGTTAGTATATTCATTCTTTTGTCCGGACGGCACATGGCAGTATGATTTTTATTTCTGTTATTTCAGGGAAAAGAGACAGCTTTTTACTAGTGGAGATCCTTTACACTGTAAAAGGTGTACACGTCCATTACAGAGAACCGCTTAATATTGCATGTCCAAAAGGTGGTGCATCTTCTATAATACTAAAAGCCAAAGTAAAAGGGAAGGTTCTCATGGCCAAAACACACACAGGTCAGCAAGGTAGGCGCAAGGCTGAGTTGACGCCTCCCTCCGAGCAAGCAAATCGTACTTTCGACCATATATAATAAACATACGAAGGCAAAAGCAGCAGTTTGGAAAGAGAAAGCTTCATAAGTTCAATCAATGAATAACATTACTGGATCGAGAATCAAACAAGGATTTGCTTCCAGGCCAAAAAAATTCCTCAAAAATAACCCCTATCATTGTTGATATTGTGTTCTGTTTGAAAGCAGCTTGAGGATCAACAAACTGTACCAACCGTAAAGGATACTGCAGTTTCCTCTGTGCCCCTAGGCAGCCTTGGCAACTTCAAGTGTGTTCGCCTTTTGAAGCCACAAGCTCACCAGAAATGAGTCGAAAACAATCTTCAACATTTAGGTCATGCAACATAAATAAATTTCAGCAAATCGTTTCCTGGTGTATAAGACTGAATTTGGTAATCCCCAAAATATATTGATTTACTGGGAAAAAAAAAAGTGTCACCTGGTTCAAATGAGCGGCCACACACGGAAGAACCAGCAGACCAGATACACCTATAGCCCCACCAAGCTGCTCAACCACAGAAACCATTACAGGCAAGGTTTTCTGCCAACATAATTTCCATAATGATTAGCTTATGTCCCCATTCTCGAGTTACTGTACAACTTATTTCTGGCCATCTTTGTGCTTGTGTTAATGGTTGTTAGTAGTAGAGCTCACCTGGCTCGCGACCAGCAGAACAGCAGTGGCATTTTGTTTCTTTGCAAAAGGAGATTTTTCACCCAAAAGAGTTGACAGGATACCCATCGCAAGACCATTAAACAGCAACAGGGCAGCATGCAAAAGCCTGCATAACAGGACTCAGTAATCACAATAGAGGTTCTTGAACAACAGCTAGACTACAACTAAACTGAATCAGATTACACGAACAGCAAAGATACTTTGACCATTTCCACCTCATAGGCATCTCATATGGCCATCCAATGATGACTGAACATGGAATGGAAACATGATCACTTAATGATGCAAGCATAGCATAATTCTAGATGGCTAGCAGCTTTACTATTATAGTGGAACGCAGTTATCTGAATCTACCACCGAGGCTAAAAGTGAATATCTACCTACAAACCCGTAAAATACACCTGTCATTTGATAGACATGCAAAATGTTGATCCGTGTGCAATTTCTCTAATTTATAAAGGAAGGAAAAGACCATATTATAAAGACATATGCAGAACTCGTTTTTATTTATCAAACTCATGAAAATAATAAACCTATCAATAGCTAATGAGAAGCGAACTACAGATACCAACAAATGAATAAAATATATAAGAAGACATACACTCCCAAACAAACAGCTTGTAAAAATACTGCTGGTTTAACCATCATAAGCAGTGATCTTGATCTGCTGATCTGCATCCAGGGTACCTGAACAAAATGCCAAAGTCAGAAACACATTAGCCATTCAAATATTTGTTAAATCTAAAACATCAACCCAGAAGCACATAACAAAGTGCATTCATTGAGAGAACGAAGTGAGTCTTACTAGACTGAGGAGAGCTGCATTCATCACGGACAAAAGTTTCCGATTTCGATCACAAAAATCAGCCACACCTGCACATATCATGGAGTAATTGATTAACAGGTTAAGGACATAAAAAAATTGAGTGAATAGATCCTGCCTCATCCTACCATACAACCTTCTTTATTTTCAATTTGTAATTTTAAGTTCCCAATGACGATGAGATTACTCCTGCCAACTTAGCTACGATATGCACACCGGCAAATAAAATCACGGCAGGTCAGCCAAATATGTTTCCATTCAGTATATTCTAGTGCTTATATACATGAAACAAAACTAGCAAATTATTAGAAGTCAAAATACAAAGATACAAGTTTCCGAGCCTGCATTACTGTTGCAGTTAGACCTAATGAGCTTCATCTCATCTTCGTTTAAATAATTCAAATTAGTATTTGATCAATATTAATGAATATGGTTTGGAAAAGTTCATTCGAGGTCTAATCAATGTAACTGAAGCGCAAAGGTGCAGCATTTATCATTCTGAATAAAAAAGTTTAACTATACATACAAACACAACGGCAAACAAATCTGTCATATTAGATGCAAAAAAGAACGAGAGATATTAAAAGCAAACTCAAACAAATTTATAAAGTTTAGTCTCACACAAATACAGTTGTATAAGCTTCTCTTCTACCAATGGTTCCAAACAAGTAGCCAGTATCCATAAACTAGTCATCTATAGGCAGCATTCAACTTGGCATACAAAAAATTTTACTATGTACCAGCACAAATGTACCATTCTCTCTATCTAGATTACCAATACACTTAAATAATAAAAAAGGTTGATAAGCATACTCACTTTTGGTTGACTCCCGAAGGACCTGTTGAATAGAAAAGGCAGTGATTTAACCCCTTTTTAGACATCAAATAACCGAAAGGATACATTTTACTTTACAAGATAAGAGACTTGGATAACGAGTTTACATTCAACATTATAATCATCTAGGAAACCAAAGAACTTGTGCTGAAGATCGAGCTCCAAATAGTAAAGAGTGCATGTACAGTATCAGAAAACAGATTACCTATGCCCCAAAAAACAACACAAAAATGAATTTCAACCATATCAAAGCCGCATGTTTCTTCATACTACAACCTTGGAAAGACCCACATGTTTTCATGACACATGATATTCACATTTTCTCCTCCAATATCCTATCTGATGGTACTTCAAATCCCTAGTTTAAGACAGTAGTAACGGTTTAGATCTAGTAATTTACCTTCCCCAAGATGAGAGGAAGAAGGAGTGTGAGAACCAGGCTTCTCAATAACTGCTCAGTAGGAACTGACACACCAACTCCGGAAGCTATGAATTTGGAAATGGAAAAAGGAATCTGACAGGTTAAACACAGTATTTATTAGACGTCTTCAGCTCATCAGTTAAAAAACAGCTTGCACAAAACAAATGACATACTAAAACAATTATACAGAGAAACATACAACTAGGATTCCCAAGAGATTAGATAGAACAGTCATCGCAAGGGCTAGGGCTGAATTCCCACCAGCTAGCTGCATGTAGCAACCACAAGAAACGTCAAGACTCCCAAAAATAATTTTTCTTCCCTGTATTTTCAGTGTTTGTGTGTGATGCACAGAAGCAACTTATGATGATCAAGAAACCTGGGTAAGTGCTGCTCCGCTTGATAATGTTGTAGGCATACAACTAAATATAGCCAGTCCTAGGGACAAAATAGCGAAAAAATCAACGCTTCATAAACTTGCCATTAAGATGAAGATAAAAAAAAAAGTTCCATGCCATAAATCGGTTCAAACCACCATCCAAGAAAGGAAACAATAGGAGAAGGAAGATAATTGAGGAAATGATTGCAACTTTAAAGCAAGTTTCAAACCTGTAATAAATTCCTGAGGTTGCAGCTTAACGAGCATGATGACATTTGAAAATAATGGAGTTAAAAACAAAATTGAAACCTGCATTTAAAAAAGAATGCTTAGTACTTTGGTAAGAACTATTAATACAACAAAAGGATTACATATGTCAATCAAATTAACCTCAAGCTACAACAGACACGGTCAAACAAGCAAACAAGATACTGTATAACAAAGAGTGGCACAACAAACATGCAAACAAGCAAGATGAAAGAGAAATTTCCTAAGTTTAGAGTCCTCTGTTATCCATAGCAATGATCCTACAAAAATAACAATGATCTAAAAGTATTAAAGGTCATACTAGCCCAAAAAGACCAACTGGCCAAGCTTCGGCAGCAGCACCAATTGCATCAGAACGCAATGTCAATCCTGTTCCACCAAACTAAAACCGAATCAGAAAAAGAAAACTGTGGGAGAGTTGAAACTTTATACAAAGCACGAACTAACCTGATATAATAAATATTCCGAAAGTGCTGAACTTTGTTAGATGATATTTATGAGCGAGACAGCCAAGGGTAGGATTCACAAATCCTAATGTCACTCCAGTAACAAGAGCTGCAAGGTAGGGTACACTACAAAAGTAAGCCAATCATATCATCAACTAAATTAGCGGAAACAGGGCAAATTCTCAAAGTTTTAAGCTCCCACACGAGTCTCCGGGACTGACAGAACAAAATTGATGCACATAAATTTGTGTACGTGTAAGTTACCTAATGGAAGAAAATTGCTGGAAGCAAACTTTAAAATTGGTTCAGCCCAGTTCCCAGTTTTCAGCAGCGAAAGTTGCTTCCCACCATCATCTCCCTGAAACAAAAACATTGCAACGCATAAATTTTTAAAAAAGAAAAAAGAAAAAAAAAAACTTTTAATTTGCTGCGGTAATTGAATGATCAGATGCTGAACCTGCAGGGATTGGGAATTGGTACTGGCTCTGACAACGACGGTACTGGTGGAAACGGGAGTAATTGATAAGCGAGAAACACCCAAAGTTCGGCTACTGAGGAATGAGAATTGAGAGGTCGGTAACCTGAGATGACGAATCCGGAACGGCGGAGTTGCGGTGGCCGGAGACTGAACTTTGAGGAATTGGAGTGTTCCCGCCATTGCAGTTGACTAATAGTGACTGGGGGGAGCTATAACGGAAATGGAACAGGTGTCCCGCCGTACCGAAGGAAAGCCCGTGACCAATGAAGTCGCTTTCATAGTTTCAGCCTGGCTATTCCCTACAAATGAATCTCAACCCCAAACTTTTTTATTCTTGTGGTTTGGACCGACTGAAGAAGTTCAGAAGAAAACAAAAACCCGCTCAAAAGTGAACGAGGGTGATTGAAGTGCATTTACGAATTCCGGTTTTACCTCAACAACAACAACAAAAAGGTACATATATATGCTAATGGAGTCGGTGAAACTCATCTTCTTAGAGAAATGGAATAAAATCCTTTTGTGATAGGACAAAATGAGATAATTTTCCACCGTTCCCGTACAGTCATTTTGGGATAGGAAACTGTCATAGGAATATTAGGTAGTTTTAGATTCCAAGGACGGGTTGATTTGCGGGAGGATGTAGCGAAAAACATCAACATCGTGCACATTCAAGGCGAAATTGTAATTGCAAAACTCAGTTGCAATGCGGATTACATACAAAAGGTATGCTGATCATCTACCATGAGATATGATACGTACAGCAGAGAATGTAATTAATCCAAAAAGTAACTCTACTTTGCAGGTTCATCTACCCTGCAAAAGAGAAAGCCAACTCCCTGCAATGATGAATGATGAATCTATTAACAGGCATCGGATTCCTCCACAATCAATCAGATTTCCAAAGTAGCAACGAGATGAAGACAGTTTAATAGTGACGGTAAATAATAAAACAGAAATCATCTCGCGCCACTACGGATTACATAAGTCAACACAACTCTCAGTTGGCAAACAAGTAATTACATTTCCTTTGCACCTTCTTGCGTTTGGAGCACAAAACCAAAGCACAAGTTCTCGATATGAACCCTTAGTCATCACAAGCAAAGGCAAACCGAAGCATATACACACGCCAAACTAGGAACCCTAACTCATCATTACATGTGACTAAATGAAGCACATAAACACACATAACCAGAATCCTCATGAAGATGACCGTCTTCTAGGCATTGATTTACTCAGCATGCCCATATCACTCCAATAGTAATTCCCTTGCTGAAGGAAAAATGATTCTTCTTTGGCTACAAACAAAGAGCAGGATAAAGAAACTAAAATATCATTAAAAAAAAAACCGTAAGTTTGCAAGCTGGAACCTTGCTACTGATAGCACTGCAAATCCACAAGGGAACACAATACAGGAGAAGATATAATCCAAAAAAAAGATTCCAGCGACAAGTAGCCATGAAAAAAATTTAAGAATCCCGAGCAAAATCCTAAGTTTTCAGATAAAAAGCTCTTAAGTGGTCCGATTCATGTATCCTTTCTTCAACAGTTCACAGTAGCTATTTCATGAATCAAGTTGACCCCAGCATAGTTGGCATGGACTATAAAAATGCAACAAAGAGGATATCTTGTACTTGTAAGACATGAAGCAGACATATTAAACATCCAAGAGGCAATTTTCCAATACATGTTTCTCTTTAGAAAAAAGGAAGAGAATGGGCAGAAAAGATATCATAAAAGAGCACCCCATCAGAAACCTTTACATTGCACCCAAAATGGCAGATCAAAGAGCTCATATGAGCAAACAATAAGATCTATCAGTGGTGACAAGGAAATACCACAAGTACATTTGTGTTCATCTTTCCAAACAAGTACATATTTATGATATTATCATGTTTTGGGAAACAGGACAGTTCGGTTGCCTATTCAAAGACCTACCCAATTCCACAGGAAGCCCAAGCTGCAATATAAAGGTGAAAATTCAGCAGAAAAATTCTCTGAAAAATGATGCATCGGTGATTTCCTTTCATTTGAAATTTATGCTATTTCGCAAACAGAAATGGTCTTTAGACAAAACATACATGCAAGACGCATTAAGAAGGTACATAAACGCCTACACCGTCATAGAACCTTTCATCTTGCAAGGCAGGCAGAATTGGTCTTTGGAACAAACACATATGCTAGAAGTATTAATGCATAAACACCTATACCATCATAGAACCCTTCATCTCGCAAAGCATAAATGGCTAAATCACAAATAAATCATTCATCAGCGTCCCTTTGAAAGAAGTCAGGCAGCTTTATACATCAAGTTCATCTTACAAAAATCAGTTTCTTCCTTTTTCTCCACAATAAGACTCCTTCCACAATGAAAGGCATGCATATGCGTACAGACAGAATTCAACACTTCAAAGGTAAAGCAGGAACATAAGCTTGCCATAAAACACAAAAGTGTAAAATGAATAAATTAAGTTGAGAACTGCATAGTAGCAACAAAAAATCCATTTAGTCCAACAGAAATCTACTTAAAGGCAATCGCATTTCAAATGAAGCTTCAATTGAAGAAACCAAAACACCTCATCCAATTAAAAACACGAAGCTTATATGATCACAACTTCCAACAGTCACTATATTGTTCCCAGCTCTGCCCTGCATTTACCTAAGAAAATGGGGATTCCTCTCCACTTAAAAACAACCAAAAACATTACAATGGCTAGAATAACAGAGGACCAAAAATTCTATAAGCTATGAATAAGATATATTAATCGAGTTCATCAAGGTACAATTGAAGTTCAACAGCTCAAAACATCACCAACAGAGAGAAGAGAGAATAAATCAAGAAACATGCGTAAGCAATCAATCCACGGTGCTCATCTCCATAAGAAGCCAGCTCAACCAACAGCCTAGTGCAAACCCTAGTGGACCATATCACAAAAACCCCTGACATCAACATAATTACCATCCCACCTTGGGGCACGAACAGTGCTACCGCCGACAACATCACAATCGGCAACATACAATACCCAATCAGGCTTAGACACCTGTACAAATCCAGGTTCCCATTCCGCCCCGCGAGCATATTGAAGACCACGTAAATAAACAGAGAAGCGACTGTAACCCAACCCAAAATGATCCCAAAATGGAGCTTCCCGGCAAGCAATTGAAACAAACCGAAGGCCATAAGGAACAGAAAAGGACCGGATAGATCCGCGTTGTTGTGAAGATCAGATTTTATGCGGAAAGGGTTAAGGATGGAGACAGTCTTTTGATAAATTTGCTTGGTGTTGATGCCGAGTTCTTCGAGGAGCGGCGGTTCGTCTTCGAATCCGGTCCCTCCACCGCCGATTGTGCCCGGGGCGAACTGCGTAGGGGGGAAAGATGTGGAAGCGGGAGCGTTTGACACATCGAATGCCATGAAGGGGATGGGATTTGTCGTTTTCGACGGAAACGGCGCCGTTGCACGACGTTGCGTAGCGCCGGGACCCATTCCTGCACCAGGATTTCCGCCGGAGGGGAATATCACCGGAGGAGCATTAAATTCTCTTGCCATCGATCAAAATACTTCGCTTCTGTACAGGTACTATTGGTTGAATCCGATTACAAGATTTGGGAAATTAGGGCAACTTGAACTTGGCTACTGGGAGTGTGGGAAGAAGATAATGGGAGATCAAGAAACTGATGCTTGTTGATCCAAAAGTTTTGCAGTTTTTCTCTTCTTCCTCCTCCGTTTCCTTAATCGTTAAAAATTTGTTGTACAGCGTGTATAGATTTAATTTCAATTGTAATCCTTTAGGTATGAATGGTTAGTAATTTTGACCCTAAAAGTTTTGGCTCCATTGTAATTAGCTAACCGATATATAGTACTCTCTTCGGTCATTAATATAAGGCATTTTGATTTTGTCCTAAATTTTACTTATTACACATTTTTTAATTAAAAAAATAGCTTTTAAAAATATATTTTCACATTCATTGTATTTTCTTTATTGTTATGACATATTTTTAAGTTTTTTGTCAATTAAAAATGCGTACTAATTGAAACTTAAGACAAATCAAAATATCTTATATTAAAGACGGTAGAGAGTATAATAATTTAAGTAATATCGATACTGAGTTCAAAAAAAAAAAGTAATATCGATCATCAACCCCGTTATTTTAAAAACCACAATAGTAAAACAATGAAAAATAATACAAAACAAAGAATGTTGGTTTTCGTCTATGGCTGTTTTTTCAAAGATATATTAGGAATTATAACAATAAATGGTTGTTTTTTTAATATAATTTGAATCATGACCAATTTTTTTTTCCTTATTATACTTAATATAAAGGCACAGTAGGCAAGAAATTAAATGACCAAAATATATTCAGGACCACATTCAAATTGATCTCGTACGTCGGATGGCCTTGATATGACGTCAGCGACTTATTGGGGGCAAAAAGGAGAATGCATAAATTCAATTTTAAATTAATAAATGAGAAAAAATCTGAATTTTTGGTAAAAAAAATCCCCAGATATCAAAACAACGTCGTTTTATACTCTTATTTTATTCCCAACAGTGAAAACGACGACGTTTTTGTATCAATGTTTTCTTTTTAAAAAGAAATTTTATTGAATCCCCGAAACAAAATAACCACAGATTATACTTGCGCTTCATCTTTCCTTTTTTCCTTCTTGTTTTTTAGCCTCCTCCCTCTTTTTTAAGACCTCTATTTACGCTAATACCCCCACCATTTTTTGGAACCGAAGGATTATATATAAAAAATTGTTACAGACACAACTTGGAACCGCAGTTCCTCCGCCGCGACTAAAACTATAGCTGCGGCTAAAAATCAAACTGCCGCTAAAGACCACCTTCAAAATTGAATTGCCGCGCTAATCATCATAACCTCCGTGCAGAGTTGTTGAAGTTTATCATCGGAACGTTTGTCGATTGAGTCCATAGATTCGATTTTGCAACCTTAACCGGTGAGACTGTTGGGGACGAAGATAAAGAGCAGTAACGAGAAGAGAAAGGGGCTCTAATCTTGATCGGTCATAGATCGTGGTGCTAGACAAGATTTGAACATTGTTCTATATACACTACTTTTTTCTACTTTTTCTTTTTCTTTCTATTTGGGCTCTAATTCTATTACTGCGAAGAGTCGCTCATCGGATTTTCCAGAGGGTTTTTTCCTCTTCTCTCCCCACTACCATTGATTGTGCCTCCAACTCACTCATTGGCAAAAAAAAGAAAAAATTCGGTCTTTCTGTACTATTGTTGCTGCTTCTTTTTCCTTGGAGTCTACTCCTAATCTTTTCTTCTTCTTTTTTTTGTTGATTTTTGTTGGTGTTTACATTGCAGAACTTTCTAATAGGGTAGAAACCAGAATTGCGTTATTTTCGCTATTTGTTTCTGTTGAGAGCTCTCCGTGCAAAAAGAGGACACCAAACCACATCAAATGCCAAGGACAATCAGAAGGACTTTTTTGCTGGTGCTCTCCACAGTTCCTGAATTGTTTTATTCTCCAAAAAGTTCGTTTTGGTGTAGTTCTCTTTTTATTATGATTTATTTTGATTCTCCTTTTGCTAGTCAATAGGGAAATAGTTACTGCATCATGAAATCTTGAATGATATCTAATCTTGTCTATGCTCACTGAATTTCACTTGGTCCTAATCTTTTCTTATTTTTCAGGTTGCCTAATCTGTTGTTTTTTCATGGATGTTCCAATTAAACTTCGTGGAGATGATATCGTCTTCGTCATCCTCCTCATAAGAATTTGATTATTTGTTTAAGTTATTGTTGATTGGGGATTCTGGAGTAGAAAAAGATAGTCCTTTGCTCATTTTTACTCCAGATACCTTCGAAGATCTCTCTCCTACCATAAGTAATACTGATTTTATTTTTCTCTTTCATATCTTTTGTATTAAAACGAATTTGAAGTTTTGATCTCAATATTCACACATGGTTATGATTTTGGATGGAAAGGTAGGATTTTACGAGAATGTTTGAGTTGCTGAATTCTATTTAATCTAGCAGAATTTCATATAATTGTGTTTATTTTAGGTTGTTGTCGGTTAGTCATCGAATTGAACTCTTTCAAAATATGAAGAATTACAAGGAGAGTGAGAAATAGAGAGATATTGTCAGCAGAAATAGTAGAATTGTGGAACCTGAGCCATGTTACAAGGACCTTTGCAAGATAGTTCCTTTTTAAAATTTCTTTTTTTGAATCCTATTGAATTGGTCGAATGTTTGTTCTTCTTTTGTGTTTCAAACCAATTTTAAATGTACATGGAATATGGAATATTTGCTGATCAATTGGTTTCATGTCAATTTATCTTATGTTAGTTGGACAAAGGTGCAGACCTTTCAACCCTGGTAAAAGTTCTCATGACTTACTATTTTTTGGGATATGATCATGTTTGCATTGGTGTGTTGTATACTGTCTCCGCCAAACCTGGTTTATTTTGAACCTATTTAATTGTAAAGTGAAAATTGAAGTGGAAGGGAGGCCTTTTTATGCCTTAGGTTTGAACACATAAAATTTTGGTTTATTGAACTGGTAGACATATTTTGTGTTGTTCCCTAAATGTGATCTATATGAGAATACATTATCAATCACTTTAAAATTAATTGGGTTACAGAGGTTCCTTTACTGTCAACAAAGTGAATCACGTGGAAGACTAATCAAATGTAGTTTAGTATACGATCGCAACAACATTACATCAAATTGGGACCAAAATTTGTCATAAATCCTCACTCCACTAGATATCTGCACCAAAATTTGTACTTCTTTTACTAAATTTATATACTTGTGATATTGTAATGTACTCTTTTTCTGACTTTATGTTTCTAATATTTGACTGTTTTATAATAAAGAACTAAAATACCATCTCTTTATATGTCTATAGTTTAAAAAAGTTGATTAGCCTTGAAAAATTACCTCCATGTCTAGATTTGAATATTTTTCTCTAACTAATACGCCAAGGTTCTCTTTGATATGTATGCTGGATTATTTGAAAATTTAGATATAATGATGAGCTACTTTAGTAGCATGATAAGTCTCTTGGTGTAAGGGAAAAAAATAATAGCATACGAATTTGCTACATGCATTAGTGACCCACTAACTTGATGTCCTAATTATGATACTTTATTTGTGGTAAATTTTGCTTTACCAGGCAAATAAAATGTTGGACACTTGGCTACTCGTCTTAATATTAGTACCTGATGATTGGGAATGCTTTGGGGAGAAGCTCGCGTTTCTGCTTTGGATTGACTAAGCATAGAGCATACTGCATTACTTCATATGTAAAGCTCATTTCCTTTTTGTTGTTCTTCAGGTTCAGGAACTTCACTGATTGTACCAGATACAGATAAAACTAGCGAAGAATTTGCAATTGAAAGGGTTAGGTACATTAGGAAAAGATAATCACTGTCTCTGTACCATTTAAAAAAAACTTTGTTTCGTAAGACTTTTTGGTGGCTTTTGCTTCTTTGTCTTACTATACTTCTTGCAATCTATGCCAACAGTCATTTGGTTGTCAATAGTGAGAAAAAAAAAAGTATTTCGAGCTTCTTTACCCAGTAAATGTCAAAAACAAGAATCTATTATGTTATTCTAGAAGACCTTTCAGAGAAGGAAACACTCTTCTATAACTTTGTGCATAAACGTTTCTATTGTTTATCCTTAATTTTCTTTTTATCATTTACTACATAATTTCTTCATCTATCTGGAACAACTTTCATTGGTGCATATTCTTCAGCTGCTCGCCAAAGAACTATGAACTATGCTTCACACGCACTTAGTTGATACTTAAGATTTGCTCCACAAATAGTATGACGAAAAATAATTTCATTGAGTTTGATCTTATCCAACTACTTGACTCTTGCTCAGTAAAGTCATGATCAACTAATAGGTTTGGAATTTTTTTGGCGTACATCCCTATACTTTTATTTTTACTACTAATTAGGCATTAGTTTCTGGTCTCCATTTTTATTTTTTGCACCAATATTTCCATATGTAAAACCTTTTCCCACAAACCTGGTCTGATAGTAGTGTTGACAAGTGATTCTTTGATAATCATGTGCGGACTTAAAATCTAGCCTTTATACAAATAGTTCTATTATTGTTATTCTTTGCACTGCTACATTTAAAGTAGTGCCGCCATTGCTGTCAAGACAAGCCCAAAACAATGGGAAAGTGGTTCATTCCAAGCTCAGTTTACCCGAGAAAACAAGGCTTCTTCGTCTCCTAAGGCTACTATTTTGATTCCTTTGTAGCAACCGATCCTAATTTATGAGCTCCTATACAGAAATTCATAAAGATCGAGTACTACCTCTTACTTCTTCCTGATTTGGTGAATACAAATAGTCTTATCGACCAAAGAAACGAATAGAATACAAAGTAAAGTCAAAGATAAAAAACAAGCTACATTTCATAATAAAAAGATTAAGTAATTGTAATTTAAATTATTGACATAGAATTCAATAAAACAAACTATTTTTATACTTTCTCTGTAGTATTACTTTTTGGTTACGAACACAATATATAATAATTATATAATACAAACTG